TGAGATAAGAATGAAAAAATATTAAAAAAATTAACTTTATATTTTTTTAAAAAAATTAAAATTTTATTATTTTAAAAAATTTTACAAATATTTATATTTTAAATACTTTGTAAATTCTCTATTTAAATAAAATATTTCATTTAAAAATATTTAAATTTAAAAAAAAATTACTTTATTTAAATTTTTCATTTAAACACACTATCAATTATTATTTGATTCTTGTCGGATATAAAACTCGATATGCTAGAAACAATTAAAATACCATGGTAATGATTAATCTTGGTTCAACAGAATGGAGTATACCCTTGGTTGAACCAAAAAATAATTTGAGAACTAATAAACTTTGGTCACTATATTTAAAGTCCAAGGACAAAATATTATTTTTATTTATATAGATTGCTGAAATGATTTTCTTTTTCTTTGTCTGTGTGCTCTATCTTAATGACATTTACTGACATTTTTCTTTTATGTTTTACATGACAGATTATTACTAATGTTATATACCGAAGTATTGAACACCGTGGAACAGTGAACTCTGAGAAGGAAAGAGTTTCGATTACAACATTCTATAGCCCAAGACATGATGCAGTGATAGGTCCTTGGCCAAGTTTGATCACTAAACAAACACCACCACAATTCAAAAGAATTCAAACAATGGAGTACTTCAAGAATTTTTTCGCACGTAAACTTGAAGGAAAGGCTTACAGAGATGCCTTGAGAATAGAGCATAATCATGATTAAAGTTAAAAATAAGTAGAAGAAAAAAAATATATTTGCACTAGTTGGGTTGAATGTGAACAATAGAAAGTTATATATGTTGATGACCTAAAATAAGTTTATGTGAGTTATGTGTGTAGTTCATTATATCACTGTATGACTGTAAAGGGAAAACTACTCCTTTGTTGAAGTTTATTTTGTTAGTTGATCTATAGAGACCTCAAGAAGCTAGTTGCTACTACTAAAATGTGAACTTACTGTGTGGAGAAAGGATAAAATATTTTTATATAATTTTAGATGATGGTATTTTTTTGTGGCATTTAAATTGACTTGAAGAAGCACATCCTCGTGATAATACTAAATAATGTCACATTAAAAGTATTCATAAAAGATGCGGCAAAAATTGAGGTCAAAATATGGTGATATTAAAAGGTATTTGTTCTAGAGCTTCATAATATTTGGTAAAAAAAAATTGAGTTTTGGTACATCATTGGTATCTTTTACATGTGCAGTTGTTAAGATGATTGATTCAACTTCTAATCAAATTTGTTTTTATTTTATTTTATCTGTTTAATAAGTTTAGTAATGAGTATAACGGTTTCATTGTTTTCATGGAAATAAGAACCTATGATTAACTTCTCTAGAGATTTTTAAACGAACAATTTTAACGAAAATGAAATATTTTAATTGTTTATTTTATTATGTTGAACTCAATGTATTCTTCTATTATCCATAGATAGAGTATATTAAATCTATAAAAATGGTTATAATAGAGTTTTTTTTTTATTTAGTTAGTTATTTATATATCAACCCAATTTTTGTTAAAATATTTTATTATTATACTTATTGTTATATAGGGAAGATGGTGTCACACATATATATGCGAGAAGATTCACTTACCCCAAAAGTAAATATCGGTAGACTTATTTCACTTAATAATTCATGTTTTATATCAAATTTTAATTATCTAATCATTGAATTAAAAATACTTAACGTATAAATCAAGTCTAGAATTTTTTTAAAATTTTGAAAACAATATGATAGTTTGTTATATAAATTCAAATTAATATATAAAATATTTTTATGATAATATAGTTATTTGAATTAATGAAAAGATATATTAAATAATTTTTAAATTTTTTAAAATAAATTTGATTTATATGTTATGAACTTTTAATTTAACGATTGAAATGTTAAAATTTGATGTAAAACATAAAATATGTTACAACTCAGATTATCATATAATTTTCATTTATAATGATATATTAAGATTCTTAAGTAAAATAGGAGACTTAAAAGAAAATAAAGAAAATGAGGAGGCTCGGCCTTCCATTTAATAATAAATTATAAATTTATAAATAATTAGGAGGCTCAGCCTTCCATTCAAATAACAGATTCTAATATGCAAATAAATATGATATAAAACAAAACACATCAATAATACATATTCAAAGAACAAACAACTGGCAAGGGATTGGGAGCCAATCCAACAAACAAACTATTTAACAATTATTCCCACACTCCCAAGCGAGGTTTCCCACTCCCCCCTTACCTGGATAAAAAGGAATTCGGGCAGAATCTCCTTTCTTTCTTCTTAAGCGGTTATTAGAACTTGGGCAGAACCTCCTCTCTTTCTTTCTCTCTTTTTCTCTCTTCTTTCTCTCTTTCTATCTCTCTAAAATTTCCTTCTCTCTAGAATTATGAATTTTCAAAATCCTAGGCCCCTATTTATAGAAATTTTGAAGTTAATATGCATAGGTTACTATTCATTATTATAATATTATAATTACTATGCACTATTCATTATTATATTCAAATTAATTAAATTTTAGAAATCAAATCCGTTGCCCCTCCTTCGGTTCCGCAGCCATTTACTATGCAATTGCATAGTGAAATACTATTTATAAATACGTATACATGAATAGTAAAATACATAAATAGTAAAATACGTGAATAGTAAGATACGTAAATAGTAAAATAGTAAAATATATGAATAAAATACAATTCACATAATAATCCCATAATTATTCAAAATACATAAAAAATAACCTTTTTCATTAAATAAAATTTGGGATGTTACACAATTAATTTTCACAATTATATATATATACATATATATTAATTATTAAGGTATAATTTATTTATTATAATAATTTATTTTCTATGCAACGTAGGGCACAAGTCCAATTATTTTAAAAATTAATTTATAAAACTATTTTAATAAAAATAATATATAGTTCTAGATATTACTTTATGAAATAGTATTTATTTTGGAAAGTAATTTATAATATTATTAAAAACGTTATATAAATGATTGATTCGTAATCACATGAAAATCCATTGTGTTGGAACAAACTTCACTAAGGTTCAAATGACTATTTTTCTCCATAGCTTGGTAATGAAATGCCAATAAGATTATAAAATGACATCCTACGTATTAAATTGAGATGCAAAGTCTCTTTTTATAACATTTGAATATTTTAGGTGGCGATCCATCAAAAGAGAAAACATCATTTAAACTCTTGGTTTACAGTTTCCAAATGACTTTCACATAATATTTTAGTGTTAAATAGAGGTTTTCAAAAACATAAATGTTTCCTTTACATAAAAATGTCTCACATAACATTCTAAATTTACCATTCTATAATTTTCTTTTCTAAATTATTATCATCTCCACCCTATTAGAAAGTATCAGAAAAGGAGAAGAGTACTAGTGGAAATGAGGGGGAAAACAATAAAAGGATAAAGTGTCACTATGATTCTGTGAAATTAATATTAAGTTGCGGTTAAACATTCATGTCCAAAATTAAAAAAAAATATACATTAAATTATTCATTCGAGCTACAATCTACTAAGCCTCTAGCTCCTCTAGCAGAACTTGTTTATGTTTGTCATGATTTTCTCGCTTCACTTTATCATGCTTTAGCTCCATCACTTTATCTAGTCTCTTTGAACTTTTTTGTTTCTTTTTGTGTTTGTGATGTGCAAGATGGTCAACAACATGTTGCACATTATCCATATTCTTTTTTTTATGTCCACGCTTGTGCATTTCTTTATGAATATGGTGTAAATCATCAAAATAATCAGAATTCCTTTCAGAATGCTTGTGCTTATGCTCATAACTGGTCTTTTGCCTATGTTGAGCACTATAGTTAGGGTGCCCAAGTTCTTGCTTGTGATGATGTTTGTTATCATGAAAATGGTGATGTCCCTTGTCAATTTTGAGTTTATGTTTATCCACAATGGTCTGTTCATCAGCACCTAATATATCTTCCCACCAGTCATAAAAAGGATCAAATAAACCTTCCTGGTGCAAAAGCCATAATAACACAAGCACTGCAATTTGAAGAATAGTGTTTATTAAGTTGTTATGCTAGATTTACAAAATATAGTATACTAATAGACATTGAACAAAAGTCATACCTGTCGGAAAAATTGCCAAAAATAGACCAAACAACATCACCCAACTCAAGCATACATACTGTATGTGGCACTTGAAGTCAAAAAATCCAGAGCATTTTTGTCTGTTCTTCCACCCAAATTGAGGGACAAGGAAGAAATTTGATCAAATAATTAGTCAAGAAAAATGAATCAAAATATTAAACAAAGGTTATGGTTAAGAAAGCAACATAGTTACTAATCTTCCAATATCATGCTTCAATGTGTAGTGTTTTATACTTACATTTATAACAAAATGTATAAATCACTAAGAATAGAAACATGGAAGGAAAAAAACTCAATATCAGTTTTTGGGAGTGGAAACATGCCAAAATTTTGCCAAGAATAGAACATGAAGAACATAATGAAAGACTTGATTCACATGCAAATAAGGAAAAATAAGTGTAGCAACTTTTGTTTATTATTGACTAGATTGTAAAATAATAGATTTTGCATAAAATAATCCTAGCTTTAACCCTTTATGATACTAATGACAGAATATTCGAATGATTAATAAAATGCATTCCATATGTTCAGAATAGTGAGTGCTACTCATATGTGTTCAATAAGTAGAATTTCTTATCAATGTAATCATGTGTACAAAATTTTAAGAAATTGACGTTTTGTACATTTTATGTGAGAATTTAAATTGTATAACTTGCAAATACAAAGTATAGTAGAAAATAATACCTACAACTTTTTCCACTGATAAATTCTGTTAAGCTTTTCCATAGTTTATTCCATATTCTTTCGATAGAATCAAAAAAACCATTTATACCGGTCTCTAGTGGTTGAAAAGGCATGCCCTGTAGTAACAAATGATTTAGTGATTCACAATTTGTTGTTATAACATACTTCTTAACATCATCACCAATAACTAGGATATTTTTTGTGAAGCAATCAAAAGACTAACTTTTAAATGAACTTTAATATAACCACGGGGAACAATTTTACAAAGTCAAATTAGCATTGATAGCATTTTATAATGTTCATGTTGGCTAGCAAAATTTCCAATACATCACCAAGAAAAAAAATAACATCAAATAAGTTAGAAAAGTAAGATGGTCAAGCATAAATTTTTAGCCACATCAGAATCAATACAATGCATTATTGATCACATTTCATGCAAGAGTTAAACCTAAAATTCCTAAGAGTATGAAGACATTTTATGTGTGAATTAATCTATACAGCAGGTCCTATTCTTGTTTTAGTGTGAAAAAATCCTTTTCACATAATATGATCGGTTGAAGCCTTTAAGGATACCATAACAACATAATATCCAAATTTGGATGAGTTTCATGTTATATGGGAATACAACTACATGAATTAAACAGGGTTATTATGTTCATGTCAGAGAAAATAAAACATACTAAATTCAGGCACCAGGAAAAGACAAACCTCTGTTCCATTGTCAAGAATAGTTGATGTAGTAGCAAATTGACATTCAGCTCTATCAACTTCATTATAATCAGAATCTTTTAGTATGGCTTCATTCAAAACACCCAAAAACAAGGACACAAAGTAAACATCAATGTGTTCCTTATCCTCAGTCAAAATAAAAATGTATTAATCCTAAGCTTCAACTTTACCTATACAGAAATATTTTGAAGCTTGATCAGTGTTTGGGTAGATTTTGAATGATCGGGTCGTAATCTCGTTAGACCTCATTATTAAAAATTGCTCCTGAACCATGTTTACAAGCAAAAGGAAAACATAATAGAAAACCAATAAAAGTATTGAACAAGAAGTGGCAAAAAATAAATTGGTGAAATACGTTTTAGAATAATACCTCCATCAGGGTGATATCCTTGGAGCAATTAAACTGCAAGACAACACAACATAGCAAAGCTAAAACTACATCTTGTTGGACACTTAGGGAATATTATTGAAATGCTGCAAGCCTCAAATATATATGAACCAAATTTTGCAACTTTTATAACACAAAAGCATCTGGAGTAGCATGCATTTGTTAAATTCCTATTCTTCTCATTCTATCAATTAAACTAACTAGAGATAATTTAATAAACAATAGTTTTGCTCCTGAATCATATGGGTATGCAATGAAGAAGTGATATGGTGCTAGTGTAAACAATGAGTACATGTGAGAAGATTTTATAATTTCTTTTATAACATTCGAGTTTTCAATTAGATATCATAAGCAAAGAAATGGAATAGAACTCCACCAACTCTTTCAAGCCTTAAAGAACAGTGCCACAAGTATAGAAATTAATTTAAAGCATATCTGACATCAAATCAATGTTCGATTGTCCCTGTATAAGGAGCACTGGATAACAAAAATAAATTCAAGGTAGCACAATATAGAGAAGTAGACTACCGTCAAACTATATGATGCTTCCACCTCACCAGTATTCTTAGTTGTGATTGAAGCAACACCAAATTGAGTTAAGGCTTGAAATGTGGGGACACTAACACTTATAATCTTTCCTGGGCTCCTAGAAAAAAAAAGAACCATGTCAAACAAATTTTGAAAAGTTTTTTTCACTATAAAAATAATAATTTTGTTGGACATTACAAGTTTATAACAAACCAAAAGACATTCCCTAGTATCAATAAAAAAATAAATTGGTTGCATTAAATAATCTTTTCACCATCATTTTTAGATATTCTCTCTGCCCCTCTCACAGTATGACAAACTTTTCAAGATTTATATGTCTATTTAGGATCAGAATATTCATTATTGGTAATCCAAATTAAACATATGAAAAGGTGAAAGGAAACGTCTTCCACACCCACCCCAAAAAAATAAAACAAAAAATAGAGCTCAACAATCATCATATCATAAAATAACTTTGTTAGTAATTGACTACAAAGTCTATAATCTAGAAATGATTTTGTCATCTTACAATCTCGTTCAAGCTAACAAATAAATCTTACACATCAACTTTCGAAAGGAAATATTAGAAAAAGAAAAGTTTTCAGTCATTTATGATACAAAGCTTAAAAAGACGTGTAAGAAAAATCATGACAAATCCATCATATCAAAGGTATATAATTATATAAAAAAAATATTGTTTTGGAAGCATATGTATATGACAAGAAAATAATAATACCTTTGATATACATACTCTACATCATTTGCACTTAATTCTAACACAAGATTTGTATTGAGAACCTCTGTAATTCCTATGGAGAAAGAATAACTCCCAGCATTCTGCAAACAAAAATATAAAATAAAATAAAATAATAATTTTTAATAAAAGACACCATATTTAATATAAATACAAAATTATTGCAACGTAACTGGATGTTGGTTTATCCTTTCAAACCTTCCTTCCAAACCATAGAGTGGCACCTGATTCCTTCTCATTCGATTCAAGTCCGCCTGTTAAGGATATAAAATTTTGTTTCAAATTTTCAAAAACTATAAGAAACTTTACATAAGTTTTCAATTAAACTATTAGATAAATATAAATAATAGGATTTGAAATTATCAGAAATGAAGTATAATTAACTCGAGGGATTGTCCAATCCTTATAAGAAGTATTTTTGTCTTATTCTTAGTCAATGTGAGACATTTTAATACAAAATAATTTTTATGTTTATTGATGTAATCATACATGTCTTAAAATTATAGATAAGTGTGTATGCACCCACATGCTCAATTTTAGGTGTTAAAGTTACTAAAAGTCCTTTGTGATCCTTGTTTAAAAATAATAATTAACCATTTGGGACTCTTGGTAATGTGGTCCCAGAGCAGGAAATAAAGACAAGCAAAATACCAAAGAAACATTCCAAATATGGAATCTATATAGTTGCAAAAATATAATTGAAAACTAAAAAGAAATTGATAACAAAAAATGAAACTTACAAAAAATACGATGAGAATAAGAGTTCAAGAAAAAAAAAATTGTTGCAATACTAACCTCCCAAAAATTCCACAGTTGATTATGCAAGCAAGTCCAAAAGGGTGAAGAGCAAAAGTTTGGTTGTTGATTAAAAGCTTCATAGCTAATACCGATTTTGTTACATTCAATACCATCTAAGGTAAATCTCACTCTCTCAAGTAGCATCCACATAGAAATGTTTCTTCCCAAATCTTGTGGTTGACCAAAGCTTCCCTATCACAAGAAAAAATTTCAAACATTTTTTTAAGCTTGTAAAGTTGTGAGTCATGCCAAAAATATGTAAAAGTAGTTCATCAATAATTTCTTCCTTAACTAAACTAGTAATGTCAAGATTGATAAAAATCTATCAAGGTCCAATATTTTCAAATATCATTTTCAATTGTATTAAATCTATCAAGGTCCAAATTAACCTATCAAATATTAATGTGTGACTTAGATTAAAAATGGGAAAAAAGTTTCTAACCTAGTGCAAAGAGGAGACCGTTGAAACTAAGAGAGCACAATCCTATGAACTTGCAATTGCAATATACAAGCCTCCTTATAATTATAACATTTTCTAATATAATTTCATGTTGCAAGAATTCTTCATTGAGAAAACTCTAGAAAGTAAATAAAAAAATGTTTTCCTAACCCTTATATATACATATAGCTACAATGTTAACATTTTTGGCATGATAAAAAGGTTCATAATGCCCTCAATTAAATATCAATTCCTCTAGTATATTTTTCCATTAACATGACTTGCAATGTGTTTGATCAATAAAACAAACACATATGATATTTTGTATCACATATACGTTGTGCGTGAGGAAACATTTTATATGCCTTCAAATGTCACAAACAACGTACCTGCCTTGGTACAACAAGATAGAAATCCTCAAAAGATGGTATATTTGTATACCCAACAAAATCTCCAATAAGATTAACCCTCAAAAATTTATCACCAGAGATCATTGTTCTATTTTCAGGTCCCACCACCACTTCCTGCCAGCCAAATTATGGACGGGCAAAGTTATGTTTTAGATATACAAAAGTGGAATAGAAAAATAATATTATATATGTATGCATGCATCTTTTAAGCATTTTTACGCTCATTTTCCATTGCAAGCACATCATAATACGAAATATAAAGGATAACTAAAAGAACATAATCCTTATAATCAATTTGCCCACTCCTAACAGGTTATGATCTTAAAAAAACATATGAAAAATGAAAATATTCATTTTCATAACATTTGGAGCAAAACACGATATTAGTTTACCAGAAGAATGATGAAACAAGAACAAGAAGGACCAAAGTGATTCTGTCTATTTAAAAAAGGGTCATGTCAACAAAAGGATCATGTCATGGGTTTAAAAACTTCAAAAATTAATTTGAGTATACATGAGGGACTAAATATTCTTGAGGACTAAATTGAATTATTTTTTTATTTAATTGTTTAGAACAAAATGTTATTCTAATTTTAGCAAATGAATAAAGAAAAGAGAAAAAAGAAGGACCAACGATTCTGCCTATTTCTCATTCAAATGTAAAAGGAAAAGAAATATATTAAAATCTAGTATTTACGATCCAAGGGTTTTCCTGAGCAATAGCCAAATCGAGTATCATGTATTATGAGACAAAATATGTAGTCTATGGAAAAAGATGCATGCATATTTAAATTTAATATTATTGCATAAGGAACCAATAGTTACATACCGAAACTTGAGTTCCGCTCTTCACCTGTATTCGAACACTAAATCCCAATGTTCGTCGCCCAATGCCAAAAACATGAAACCTAAATTGATTGAGAGAGAAAAGAGAGAAGGATGTTTGAGTTGTAACTTGTAACTGATGACTAAAACAAAGAAGTTGGTTTCACTTTGTCAATTTTTAGAGGTAATTACAATTGAAACAAGACAAAACTACACTTTACAATGTAATATAAGTATATAACTAATCTTAAATAACAAAGTTTCCTCATAAAATTGTTAGAATATCAGGTTATTTACTATTAAGTAGTAATTTTTAGTTAAATTATAACTATATTTGTACATTATGAGCGTTAAGAGTTGAATTTATGGTAGTTATATTTCGTAAACAAAATGATTAACATAATATAGCTACGGGTATAATATGTCAATATTTAAAATCTTTTTGATAAATTATATTGTGCTAGATCTCTCTCTCTTTCC